GGGTCTGGTGCATTTTGCCTTTTCTTTCTGTGAACAAAGTCATGTATATTCACTGTCTTAGTAACAGGCTGTCATTCCTGTGAATGTGGACTGGCATCATCACATTGGCATTGTGGGAAATCTGATTATCAAGTTGCTGCAGACCTATGCAGAACTGAGGAATGAGATAACTGGCAACGGAAAGAGGCTTTTGTTGCCTTTCAGTGTGAAGCCAGATATGACAGATGTTATGTGTGTTTTGGAAAGCTTTATAGGAAGTAAAAAAATAATAATAAACCAAGAAAAACATCAAATTGCCAAAAAAAGCAAGCTCAGCAGCCAAAGAATGTTCAGGGCAAATTGAAAAAAAACAAGAAACCTTGAGAATGAATGTGAGTGAAATGCTCTGTTTAGAAGCAAGCGGTCAATCCCCTAATAGCAGTTCCCAACCAAGGAAGCAGGATTCACATAGTTAATCAGTTTTAATGCAAGACTTAAATTTTAAAAAACCTTGTAAACTATTTTTTTTTAAAATACTCCTTATTTATTATTGAACCTTTTAAGGAGAGGCTTGTATGTGTTATTTGAATTTTTCTTCAAATTCCATAAGTGATGCAGATGCCACACACAACAGATAAGGCCGAAATGCCCATCTGTTACTCATTTGCAATATTTTGAAAGACAGCCTTATCTTTACTAGGCTGGAATTCCCTTTTTGAAATTTACTGTAAACTTTAGACAGTGTGGTTGGTGTAGGTATTTCTTTTAGCATACAACCCTAGATTTCTATGAGTGTTACTGATGTTTCCTCTTGAAAGGAAACAGAATAAAATGCTGTGTTTTTTCTTAGATCTTACCAATTTGCCATCCAAAGCTGAATCTGCAAAAGAGCAACCAGTTCAACCAGCTGTTGTGCGCAAACCTACTGTAATCCGAATCCCATCTAAACCAGCAAAAGGTAATATCCATAATATCCATCCATCCATCCTTCCTGTATAAAACATATGATTGTGAAAAAACTATTTTTGCCTAAAGTTGTTTTTTATAGAACATATTTACCAAGGGACACAATGGCTCGGTGGCTAAGACGCTGAGCTTGTCGATCAGAAAGGTTGACAGTTTGGCGGTTCAAATCCCTAGCACCGTGTAACCGAGTGAACTCCTGTTACTTATCTCAGCTTCGACCAACCTTGCAGTTTGAAAACACATTAAAAATGCAAGTAGAAAAATAGGGATCACATTTGGTGGGAAGGTAACAGCGTTCCAAGCGCCTTCAGCATTTAGTCATGCTGGCCGCATGATCACAAAGACCTCTTTGGACAGTGCTGGATCTTTGGCTTTGAAACGGAGATGAGCACCCTAGATTTGGGAATGACTAGAACATATGGACTTGCAAGCACCTGCACCATCCATCCCAGACCTTCCTATCCCGAACACGCAAAGGCAGCCCCTTTCCCCAACTTACATGCAAGTAGTGCTAAGGTCTATCCCACCCAGCTGTGAACTCTGGTGCTCCTTACCAGGAATTCCTGCTGCTTCTTGCTTAATGACTTGCATGTCTTGGGAGTATGATGGCAATCAGGACTAAGTGATGCAGTCATGTGATGTTTTGTTTAACAACCCATTGCTTGGTGTTGGCAATCCCGGTCCCAATTGCCACTGTACCTGGAGGACTACCTGTAATGCAATTCTGCTATGAATTGTGATTTGTTATAGTTTTCCATTGAATATTTTTGTAGAATAACTTTAATAATATTTCTTTAATAATCAAAATCTGAATTTTGATAGTTAACATTGGAAAATTGTAAATATTTTTACAGCTTTAAATGACATTCTGGAAAGCCCTCCTCCACTACCTACAGAGAAACCAATTGGAAACACATCTGGTATTGCAGCTGGAAAACTCAATAACATCAACATTATTAACAAGGTAATGCATTTCCTTCCTTCCTCCCTCCTCCCTCCATCCCTCCCTCCTTTCCTTTCTAAAAAATGTCACATTATTTTAAACCATTTTACTTAATCTTTAAGTGTTACAATGCTTAATGTGCATATTTCACCAATTATGTTCTCTACTTCTCCCCAAAATAGTACAAGTGAGAAAATAGCTGCAATCTTCAAATAAATAAATTCAGATTCCTTAGTTTCCTTGCATTCAGACCTAAACGGTTCCTGCACTTGCCTTGCCTCATTCCAACCAATTTTCCTATATAGTATGTAATCCTGCTTTCGTTTGTACTATGTGTTGTTGAAACACTCATATGAAAGACTATTGCAATTCTGAAAAATTGTCCATTCCATCTTGTAATTTTTGACTTTTTAACCATATCATGTATTGAAGTAAAAGTTCATCCATTTTTAACAAGGTCAGCAGCCACCCTAACCCTTCAGCACTTGCATTGAAGCTCCCCTGCCACTCATGTTCCCTTGCACACTCTGCTTGAGTTGCCCCTCCCCTGCCACCTACACACACCCTCATGCACCTCCCTGAGCCTTGCTATATTTGCACCTCTCTCTGCACCTTTGTGCATTCTCCTCCTTCCAACGATAACTACCCCAAGCACTGCCATGTCTATTTCACGTTTCTTTAGCCATCTGCACACACCTCACTCCCTCACCACCTACTGCCAGCAGTAGTCACTACTGGCCTATATCCAAGCTACCTATGACTTACAACTTTCTGATGACTTCCCCATTGATTTGTGGTTGTTGGAAACCAGCAGGAAGTTGTGAGGAGCTGCTCGCTTAATGACCCACAACCCTCACTTAACGATAGCAACAGGGATTCCATGGACTGCCATCCCTAAGCAATGTGATTATGTGACATGGCAATTCGCTGTCAGGTTGTTTAGTGACAGACATTCTGGTTCCAAGTGCAGTCGTAACTTGAAGACTACCTGTATATACACAAAAGCAACTGTGGTGTAATGGCTAAAAGCACCAGGCTAGAAACTGGGAAACTGAGTTCTAATCTACCTTAATCGTGAAGTCAGCTGGGTCTTTATTTCATAATCTTAGGAAGAAGGCATTTGACCAAAAATGTTGCCAAGAAATTTGTATAGCAAATACCAGACCTTTTCTTATCTGACATTTTACTTTGAAATAATCATAACAATTCTAATTTTTTTTTGTCCAAATAATAATAACATTTAATCACCCAATAGGAACCTGAACAGCCCAGTTTGATACAGCCAATCAAGAATGAGCCAGTTCTGCCTCCAAGGTGAGTAGCAAAGAAACAGCAGTGAGATTGGTGTTGCACAGTACATATTCTGCTACCACTTTATTATATTGATATTAGTTGTATAGTTTTATATAACAAAATGAAAAATATTCTACAATTCTAAAAATACATATGGACTATAAGTTATATTGATTATTCTGTAATTTCACCCTAGAAGATACAAATATTTATGTTCATAGTCTGATCCATTCATAATACTTAGGAGAATAGTATATTATGAAGTTATGGGAGAGTATACAGTAGTAAAAGTGCTTGCTGTCATTGTGAATAACCCAAAGCGGATCTCCTGTTTTAATTTTAATGAAATCTTTATGTACATTTTAATATTCTTAACAGATTGCAGAAGGTAAACTGATGTATTGCATTAATTAGAAAAACAAAATGAAATGCCAGCTATTGAACAGGGGAATCCAACAATGAAGTTGCTTCAAGTGTAATTCTAATGCAGAGGTGTCAAACTCTATTTCATTGAGGGCTGCATTAGGATTATGTTTGAGCTCGGGGAGGGGTGTATGTGGCCAGGATGAGCAGGGCTAGCTCGATGTCATTCGTGTTGGGGGTGCCTGTGGTGGCCTAAGTGCTCTGTCAACAAAAAAGGGCTCCCGAGCTCCATTTTCAGCTACAACAGCTTCCTGGAACTCTCTGCCAGTGAAAATGGAGCTCAGGAGGGCTACGGCGGGCTAGTTCTTCGCTGTTTCCAGGGCAGTCCCGCGGGCCAGATCTATTCGGCCCACGGGCCTTGAGTTTGACACCCTTATTCTAATGGTTTTAGTCAATGGGGATTGCATTGTGTTTCCTTGATTGAAATTGTCTAACTATATGAAAATCTGTTTTACAGAACGGTTTCCATGTAGGATACCATTCTCATTTTATTTTCAGATAGCTAATATAATGTTGCTGAGATTTATACATTTGGCATTTGAATTTCATTTTTACAGAAGAGAGACAGTTAAATTGTATATTGTTTATTATGCCTAAGAATATAATTTAATAAGAAGCCAATTGGATCTAAAGAGTGTCTAGTGCTCTTAGCAGATTCTTTAAAAAAACTCTTTAATGGGGATTAGTATTACTTCTAACATATCCATAATTGTAATGGTGGGTGGAGATGTTTTTGGGAGACAAGGAGGAGAGCAGAGATGCTGCTTGCCTAGGGAACAGTCAGGTGAGAGAAAATTAGGGCTAGATCATTATGGAGAAAATCTACCTTCATAGTCACCGGGAATCAAAAACAACGGTGGCACATAATTAATCTCGCAATAGTTTTTAATAATTCAGAGTGTATTTGTAATATAATTGGAATAGAATGTGTTTTCTAATACTATGCTTTCTTCATAATTTCTAGACCCGTTCAGGGGAAAATCATACCATCTCGGCCTTCTCTACCTAAAGTGGCCCCAGGAAGACCACCACCGCCAAAATCCAACAAAATCTCATCTGATACTGATAGATTTCCACGCTCGTCATCTGATGTGACACTCCATAAGAAACCTAGCATGCCTGGATTGGGAATTAAAAAAACAAAGAGTGATGATTTTAAAAAACATGGCTCAGATTTACCCCCTCGACCCAAACCAGGTCATCCTCTATACAACAAATATATGGTGAGGAGATTAATTTTACTACGGGGAGATGTAACTTTGTACATCGCGTCTCTTATTAAAAGAGGAGGAAGATTGATTTTTAATTGTATGAAAGGTCAGCAAATAAAATATATCACATTTCCTGATGTACTTTCTGGTAGCACTGGAGTTTTATAGAGTTCCATCATTACATCATAGAATAGAAGAGTAGAATAGAATAGAATAGAGCTGGAAGGGACCTTGGAGGTCATATAGTCCACCCCCCTGTTCAAGCAGGAGACCCTATACCAGTGATGGCTAATCTTTTTGTCGTCACGTTCTGAGAGCATGCACATGCCAACACCCATAATGCAATGCATGTGCGACACCCCACTGCTCATGCGCACATGACCCCCCCACCCCCCCGTGCTCCCCCACTTCCTTATGCATGCAAGCGTGACCCAGTTTGGGCCTAGCAGGCCTCCCAAAAGCCTCCTGGGACCAAAAATGGGTCACGGCGCTGCACCCTTTGTGCTACCACTGTCCTCGCATGTGTGACCCCCCTGCCCCCCCTATGCTTGCACTCATGGCTTCCCCATGCCCCCCTGCTTCCTGTGCATGTGCAGCAGAGACCCAAAAATCAGCTGGCCAGCGGGAGGTGCACACACATGCGTGGTACAGCTAAGCTGGGGCGACGGGTCACATGGCATGCATGCCATACATTCGCCATCACAGCCCTATATCATTTGAGACAAGTGGTTGTCCGGTCTCTTCTTTAAAAACCTTCAATGATGAAGCACCCACAACTTCTGAAGGCAAGCTGTTCCATTGGTTAATTTTCATTGTTAGGAAGTTTCTCCTTAATTCCAGGTTGCTTCTTTCCTTGATTAGTTTCCATCCATTGTTTCTTGTCTTATCCTCTGTGCTTTGGAAAATAAGTTGACCCCCTCCTCTTTGTGGTAGCCCCTCTAATACTGGAATACTGCTATCATGTCACCCAAAGTCTTTATTTTTTCTAGACTAGCCAAATCCAAATCTTGCAACCATTCTTCATATGTTTTAGTCTCCAGCCCTTTAGTCATCTGAGTTGCTCTTTTTCGAAAGTCTCAACATCATTTTTGTAGTGTGGTGACCAAAACTGGATGCAGTATTCCAGGTGGTGTTACTAAGATTTTTTAAAGTGGTACTAAATATTTCATGTTATTTTGATTCTATGCCCGTGTTTATATTACCAAAGATTGTATTAGCTTTTTAGCTGCTGTCGCACACTACTGGCTCATATTTAGGTCACCATCAATTAGGATTCCAAGGTCCCTC